TTTCGTGGTTTTAAGCGTTCAAACATGGGACATGATGTTGCTTCCATGCATTAGGGTGGGTGTAAAGGTCACCGGAAGGTCAGGTCAGGTCACTGACCTTTGATGACCTCGGTTCACTTTTTCGAGTTGTAGGGTAACTGTGGGGAAAACGCACCCCTGGGTTAAACGCCTCCCCTAAAAAAATCGTATTTCTTATCGACGGATAGGTGTTTTATCCTGTCTTTCAGAACAGTCAACTGCTTGTTTTACGTATGTCTCTATTTCCGGTTCTGCGTCTTGAGAAGCAGCGTGGGTAGGTGCTGATGTTGGTTTTGGGTGTTGTTTTTGTTGTTTTTACAGAAGATTACTAATATTTTCATGCCCTCTTTATATCACAAAACCTGCTATTGTGCACATCACTCAAAACTGCGTTTTATTGTGATTCTATTGAATTTATGATGCTGCGGCGTTAGTGGCGCGTTTTTTGTCAATATTTTGTTGACCGGAAATGGAGTGGATGGGGAAAGACGCCTACTCGATGCATGGGGCAAGACGCCCCCAGTTTTCTGAAAGGGGGCGTTTTGCACGGTGGTGAGAGTGCAGGGTAGCGCCCTGTAGGTCGGGGCCGAAAAGGCCTCTCCCTGTCCTTTTTTGCTGATATATCCTAAACGACTGCAAATATCGTCACCAAACTTTCATGACTCCTTCGGGCATCCATTTTACACATTGCAACAAAATTGTATTCCAAAGGCTATGATAGGTTGACCACAAATGACGTCAGAATGATGTCAAATTCTGCCATTTTCATCATGTTCTATTGATGGAATTGGGTGGGGGCGGTTTGCACATGGGTGTGGGCGTATTACCCAGGGTGTGGGGCAAAACGCCCTTTTGTAAGGGTATGCGAAAACCTTTTTGGGGGGTTAAATACCACACGCAGGTGTCTTTTCTTGGTCTCAAAGCGTAGTAAAAAGAATGAGCTACATGATGGTGCCCAAAGGTTTGAGTAATCTGTGTTGGGTTGAGTGTCAGAAGGTTTCGCGCTTAAAGGGGGCGTTTTTGACCTATTCACCCTACATGTTTCTAGGCTGGTTTTTGGAGCTGAATTCGAATTTAGCAACCATTTGAACATTTACGATGTAGAGTTGGTGCCTTCGTAACATGTTACGAAGCTGTCAGAGGCTGTTGCCACCTTCTACGAATACCCTTACCTACTGGTTGACCTGACCTGACCTGACCCGACCTGGCCTAAATTCATGAAGACATCATCTGTGATTAAAACTAACATGATATTCGCGATCAGCACCCCGAAAAAAACCCGTAGCAGTTACGCTTTACGACTTTCTAATAGGTCCCGATTTTCCCGACTTTTGGGTCATTGACCTGACCTGGAAGGTCAACCGATGACCTAGGACCTTAAAATGGGTATCATCGGCTTCCTCTCGTCACAGGCAACACGCTCGTTTTTTCCGCGAAGCTCTAGCTCGATCAGGGGCGAAACGGCAAGGGGGGGTCCAACGGACCCACTCCCCCTCCTTCTCCCCCTCGTTATACGTTCGCGGCTGGAAAAACACCAATAGGTACGGGTGAGGGTTAAGGGAGTTTTGAGGTGTTTTGTTGTATAACTTAAAATGTGTTAGAGATAAAAGCATGAACATGCCAGTATTTTATGTGGAATTTGGTGTTTTCCTACCTACGGAAAGAAAACTTTATGAAATTATATTTATATATTATTTTTTCATTTTTTCTCCCCTGTCCCTTAGCACCCCACCACCACCTCAAAATACACATGTGTCCGGAAAAGAGAAAGAGGATGATGAATGAATGGGTGGATATGTAGTTGTACCTATAAGTTTTTCGGGAAACGTGCAATACGTGTGACATTACACCTATGCATTCATTTGCCCTGTACACCTTCTAAGTTATGTGGTACACAGAGTTTTGGAGATGTTTGAACTTTGTGAAAATGTAGCATGATTTTCAAAACCATTTTTGAACCAAATCACTTGCATGAAAAACCATGCTATTTTGTCCTATAGGTAGTCAAGAAAAAAAAACAGTGTCAACTACCACACTCAAGGTTTTATTTAACCTTCTCAAATTAAGAACTTAATATGACTCAAAGTTTTTCCCACACAACTGTCCCTTAGCACCCCTGTCCCTCAACACCTCCTTTTACAGTAACAAATATCTTTTAAAGGACGCTTGCTCCAAGCATGTTTTTTGAAAAAGCATGTGTTTTAGCGAGCAAAACGAGCAAAAACTGAACCTGAGAGAACTTGCATTGCAATGTAATGTAAAACTATCATGGAAAGAACCGCTTAGGTACCTACTCAATTCAGGCCTAGGTAAGAACAAAGTTTTCCCAAAATTTGTTGGAAATTAATGCTTTCGTATGGATACTGGGCGACAGCTGCCACCAGTGACGTCATCATAGAATGCTCATTTTTGAAGATACACAGTTCCCCTGTATTTACCGAGCACAATTTGAAATCGATCATTTTTACTGTAAGAAATTCTTAGCCAGACCTTGAAGTTACCAAAACTCATGTGAGAGCTTCAATAATGAACTTGGAGCCAGCGTCCTTTTGAAGAAGAAAAAAATGAACTATAACAACCTACCAACCTACTACCTACCAACCTACAACATACTTACCTACATACCAATCAGACTTCATCTTCACATATAGGTTGAGGTAGGCTAAGGTGGTTAACCCGGCAGTTGCTGGGGTATTTCGCCACCCACCGTTTGCTGGGCGGGGGGGGGGGGCGTTAAACGCCCCCAGCCGATAACTCGAGAACCAATAGGCGCAGCGAAACGCACGAGGCGGCAAACGAAAGAGCGCGACGAGACGCTTCAGATGAGTACTTTAAAGTTGAATTTTGAGGTCACAGGTCGGGTCAAGGTCAGGTCAAACACCTGAAATCGGGCTTTCAGTAGCATGGACTTCAGGACTTCGCAATGGGCGCCTCTCGCCATAAACTCTGTCAAAACGGTGCACAATCCATCTTATAAGGCCTACAAGAGTGTCAGCTCCATGTAGGGGTCAGTCAAGCATAGGTCAGGGTCAAGGTCAGGTCAACCGGGTAGGCACATATCCCCGAAAATCAAAACTGATATTCACAGCCTGTGACCATAGGTGGGCATCGTTCCCCAAAATTGTAACTTCGTTACTCGTTCCTTCGTTCCTTCAAAACGTGACTTCCGTTACTCGTTCCTCCGTTCCTCTGCATATAATGTAACGGAAGTTCATTAGTCCGTTACTCCGTTACAGCAAAATAAAAAAACGTTAAAATGTTGTGTATTTCACACATTTTTTAGACCATTCTGACACAAACTAAACATACCGAGAAAGCGGAATGCCCACCAAATCTACCAAGACAGCGGGCACTGATTGGGCACTAAACCTTGGAAGTTGGAACGTCTGGTGGTACTGATGCGCATCACTTGTCCCCGGCCAGATGCCGGTTGCCCTTCACGAACACTAGACGTTCCGGGTTGGCATCTGAGAGCATAGGCGGTGGAACGGAGGGACACCGGTGCACCGTGCCTCCCTTTGATTTTGGCATTTTAACATTAGCCCTATGTGCGTTGCATGGAAAGAAATTGAAGATGTTCCGCTGCCACTTTTGAGAGGGTAGCCCTTTTTGCACGTAGCACATCTTTTCCCATTGAGAACATGCGCTCTACTGAGGCGCTTGAAGGGGCGCCCGTGTTGAACTTTGCGAACACAAACGGCAACGCCGGCTCATTTCGGAAGGCCAGTACACTGAGGCCATCTTCCTTCGTCAAGTCAGGGCTGCTCAATAATCCACTATTCCGCTGCTGCATTAATGTCTGTGGGTTAGCTGAAAGATCAACCCGCTCGGACAACGAAAAGTAACGGAGGAACGAAGGAACGGACTAAACTGTAAAGTGTAACGGAGGAACGAACAACCAATGTAACGGAAGTTACTTGGTCCGTTACCCTTTTTAAAATGTAACGAGTCCGTTCCTCCGTTCCTAAAAATTGTAACGGCGTTCCGGAACGGAGGAACGGAGGAACGGATCGTGCCCACCTATGCCTGTGACACATGTTTTATAGGTAATTTGGGGCGTAGAACACGATGGTGACATTCATTTTATCATATGTGTACGTGTTTGGCTCAAAAAGTTCAATTTAATAAATTCATAAAATTCAATAAATTCAATAAATTCATGTATCATGGTCGTGAAGTAGTCACGAAAAATTGCCAAGATTCAGTTCAATATTATGGAAAATGCGGAACGATAATCAATAATCCAAGATAGCCATTTGATTAATCATGGTAATGGCAGTCTAATGGCGTTTACGGCATGTCTGTATGTCTATTCTGTGATTTTATATGATTTTTTGAACATATGCCGTTTTTGGTCGGAAACTCAGAAATCATGACGTCACTAAAACCTCGATATCTCAAAAATTTTCCGACCGATTTTTTTGAAACTTTGTCACAATAAGCTTCAATCAATTCCCTACAGGTACCCAAAATTTGGCGCGCCTGCGGCGCGCCGTTTTTATACTATGGCCCGGCGAAAAAAGTGGGGGCGTTTAACGCCCCCCCCAGCAACTCGCGGGTTAAGGTACCTACCATCTAGCTACCTGGGCCCTGTTTCACCGGTGATACACATGTCATATTGGGTTTCCATATGGAGACGTCAACAAGCCTATTCCTCCAACACTACCAGAAGTGTGACGTCAGCTCGCAAAATGGAATAGCAGCATGCTGCTAAGTGCTATCACCAGTGAAACAGGGCCTAGCTACCTGGGACCTGTTTCACCGGTGATACACATGTCAAATTCGGTTTCCATGGAGACGTCAACAAGCCTATTCCTCCAACACTACCAGAAGTGTGACGTCAGCTGATCAGCTCGCGATCAGCTCGTGAAATGGAATAGCAGCATGCTGCTATCACAGGTGAAACAGGGCCCAGATATTGATATCTTTCAGCAAAATCCAGCTACACTGAATTAACTTTAAAGTATAGGCATCAAACTCACCCTCCAGAATATTCAGGAAGCTTGATATCTTGTAGAGTCCCATGAGAAGCTCCAGTATTTATGACTAGGCTTCTCCATTCGACAGACCGCATGAGGTTTGGATAAGTTTCCCGAACAAATCCGTGGTCGGACATCTCATATGTTGACAGAGATTCATCACAAAGTTTGGGGTATAAAACATCTTGCACTTCTTCGGCCATTTTCTAACAGTAGTTCCAACAACTTATATGGCCTTGGTTCCAACAAAGCTTGCTGTTATCTGTGCTCTTATCAATTAATTGAATCCTGGGGTGTTACCGTCGTGGTCGATGCCAAAGTCAAGTCAAAGTGCTCCCCTTGGTGCTCCCACTATATATGGCCTTGGTGCTCCCCCTTCCTTGGTGTGCTCCCTGCAGGGGGGTTCGCTCCCGTGCCTTCAGCATTAGGAAAAATGGCAACAGCCCGTGAGCAGCATCAGCGCTCACGCACATGTTCAAGGAAAACAACGTGTAATTAGCTGCTGACGACGGCCCTCTCCACCAATCAGCGCTCGGTAACTCGAGCGCTGATTGGCTGGTAGCAAACGCGTCATATGTGGGTCTCTTTTTTTGCTATCAGTGAACGCGTTATTTAATACACGGTGGCCTATGGAGAATGGCACGCGGAATTGAAGGTCAGTGTTTTATTGCTTCGTACATGCGAATGGGGGTATTTGAGTGGTATTTGACTCCATTTTCGAAATCTACAGTAAATGTTTGATCGACTCCTGTATATATTTTTATGAATTTGACAGTATTAGTGCTACATAGTCGGTGTTTTATGTTGGTGTTGTTTCTCTCGACCTTTGTCTTGGACTTTAATCATATCTTTTCTCGAAAGTGCTTGCCATAACCAGGTCTTAACTGTATCTGTATAAAGGGAATATGTGTTGAATATGAGGGGAAAGTAGTAATGACCATTCTGCCTATCAAACTGCCAGAAGGTGTGCTTGTAAGGTGATTGAAACTGCAGTACGGGTTGCAGTTTGGGTTTGACATTAGCATTGTTGTTGTAACCCCACTTGCTCTAATAAAATGGCAACATGGGGTTATGTACACACTATTGCACAGCCTGGTATCAAGCTGGTTGATATGTGGAGGATAATGAAAGCATAAAAGAATAGGAGCGTTGCGTCTTGTGACTTATGTCAAGTCATTTTAAATCAAATTGAAATGATTGTGATTGTAACTTTTACTTCAATTATTATTGCAAGTTTTGACCTTTTTAATCATCAATTTTTATGTGTACCAATTTCATATGCCTGTGTAATGTCTGTGCGGCTTTGTGCAGTGTGAGTGTCTTGAAACAAACCAATTTATTTTGTACCTTTTTGTACTTCAACAAATGTACCTATGTCAAAGGACAAAAATGTCATGTCTATTATCATTGACACTACTACAGCTAACTTTGCCTGTATTCCTATCTTTCAGAGGCATTCAATTCAATCTGCTTTCCAGTGCAGTACCAAGGAGGCTGCAACTGAAACTCACCCAAAGGCAATCAAGTGTCACTTCATCAGCCTACAGTAACAGCCCATCTGTAATCAAGATATGGATGAAGGGGCATAGAAGAACAACCAGTTCAAACATGAAAAGATTGTATTTTGTTTTGGACTATTTCTTAGCATAACAGAACAGTACACTTGCTGCTTTTTATGTTTGCCCTGTGTGCAGTTTTGAATAATTTAACCATGAGATGCTTTTGTCAACTATTCTCTTTACATAAGCTTCCTTTGTCATGCATGTGTAATTTTGAGTTTACATGCATAATGTAGGCACATTTCCTTTGGTTTCATAGAAGTTAAAACTACTTACAAGCTTTGGTTATGGACATTGGTGCTATATATGATGCTTCAAATGTGTCCAGTAGTTGATGAAGGGAGAAGAGGAGTAGGACAGCTGATAGCTATTACCAAAAGTATGTGCTTGTCTGCACTTCGGGCTGTTTTACTTCCTTGAGTTAAAAAACCCTCATCTTTTGTTTCTTTCCTGTGTGCCCATTGTTTCCATGGTGCTATACATAAACGTCAAGTTTGAAGTTGGTATCCAAGTGAGCAAAATGTGTATTATTTCAGTCCGTCTTGAATCATTCGTCTTGAATTATATCCCTAACTGACATCCTGTTATTTGTCCTGCAATGTCTGTGCCTGTGTCCGCCCTTACCTCCGGCTCCAGCCTCCAACCAGCCCTGCTGAGCTCTGTCGCCGGCGCGGTGGGTCGCAACGTGCTGTTTCTCCACTCCAGCCGACAGCTGCTAGGAATCGTCCTGTGCCATGCGCCATGCGACACAGCAATTGTAAGCTGCAGGTCACATTCGGACTGATTGGCTCCGCGTATGTGCATCCGGCCGGGAGCTAGTCGATATCAGGGACGTGAGTCGGACTGTTGTGGCGGCGTGCACTGTGCTGGTTGAAGTTGTATTTCTGTTAGTGAAAAGCATTAATACATAACCGTGGCCGCAGCCCAATGTTATTATGGATTTCAGAGGGAGTGGCCAGTCAGGAGGGCCCCATGTGGGTATGGATCCAGTGTCCAGTGGGATTGGCTAAGATTTCCGGCGATTGATAAACGCTTCTATGATAGTAAACCTATTGAGTTATTAGGGGAGGTCACGTGACGGACCTGACCTTACTAAACTCTTGTGAAAACACGACACATACGAATGGTAAGAAACCGACAACTCTTCTTTCTGCCAAGTGTCATCTTTCTGTGAAGGATTTCTTGGCACTGAGTGTTCAGAAATTGCGTTGTTTTTGGACTGTGCAGAGGCTCACGAGCGACAGCATAGGTCAACAACCTGACCTACCTTAAATATGCGACTTGTACCATAAGATCCAGCTTGATCAAAAGATAGGACATGTCAAATTTCATCTCTTTATCTCAAAAGAATTTTGAGCTATCGTAAAAACCGCCAGTGTGGCACCATATCGCCTCCGCGCGCGGTCGGAAGGTAAAAGTTCGCCGGCTCTAACTAAACAAATAGTCCTCGTATCGCAAATTAATTGGCGGCGTTCGAAGCGTCGTTCAATTTACTTTCGAAACATATCCTAAAATTACCATTTAACTGCCTAGCGCAATCACCAACAAGCAAAAGTTCCGCGCATCCCTCCTCATACAGTGTTAGCGGCGGCCGGCCGCCGGCCGCTGACCCACATTCGCGTCATCAGGGAATGCCGCAACTAATTTATTGTTTCCAACTTTTTTCCCGGAGCGTTCTACCTGGTTTATATAGCCTTGGCTCCCTGTGCGTGCCAACTTCAAAATGTGCGCCATGAACGTAAAAGAAGCGTCATCACTGAATTATAAAGCATGCGTTTGGCATCTGGAAAATCAGGGAGAATTATCCGGGATCAGCGAAAATTATCGGGGATCGCGCCACGGACATAAATAAACTGGACCCGCAACCACCTCCTTCACCGTTCCGTGCTTCTATCCTCAGGCATAGGTGTAGGAACAGGGGAGGACGCGGGGCCGGTGGGCGGTGGCCTCCCCACTTTTCATGGTGGGGGGCCAGTAATGTTAACTGCCCCCCCCCCACTGGTTCTGGTTCTGGTATTTTGGCTTACGGGCCACCACAGCGTCCTGTATTTGGGCCCGGTTCTGTCGTCCGTCTTCGTTGTTGGTCCGTCCGTTGTCTTGCAGTGTCCGTCGTCTTCTTTGGCTTGTGGTGCTGTGGGGCTGTTCACCACATATCAGTGACTGGGTTTTACGTTAATCAGAAATGGAAAATATCAACCTGGTGCGTGTTCCAAAAATTCAATCAGTTCGATCCAAACGGCCCCAAGTAAAAGAATTAATTTAAGGAGCGGGTTGTTATATTTAAATTACCAAAACGAAGTCAAAAACCAAAACAGCGAATCAGACAATGGAGCGACGAAGAGACGAGAATGAAATCCAAGTTTGCCAAATATGCCCTGCCTAATCTAAGTTATAAATCCCGGACAGAACGGGCCAAATCGCGGAGCCAGACGTGACGCGTCTGCTCGGGCCAAGAGCTCGGCCAGAAGTCCCGGGGATCGCGCGGCCCGACGCAGCGGGCCGGGCCCAGACATGCGCAGAAGCACTCGGACACCACGTGGCTGCCGATCGGAGCGCGGATTGGTCACTGGCCGACGCACTGCGGCAGCGCAGGCCGCAGGCACGCGGTCGCATCGTGATGGGACAAAGTTCACGAACAGACACGTCCTGGGCCGCCCCCAGCGCCGGGGCGGGGTAGCGACGTCACAAGTCGGCGCGCGAATCGGTCTGCGCCGGGAACTCCCGTGCCGGCCGGCGACACACGTGGTTACCACAGTACTCACCGCCTCAGCGCGGAGCGCATACACGATAAGCCAAAACAATCACTTTTCACATCACTCGGTGCGCGACGCGATCGACACTTCATTGCGCGACGCAATAATCACTACACGGTACGGCGCAACGCAATTGTCACTGCACGGTCCTGCGCGACGCAAGAATCACTACACCGCGCGACGCAGTTATCACTTCACTGTCGGCGCCACGCGATCAGGATCGTCCTCGAACGCACGTACGCGGGCGCACTTAAAAGTATCGGAAGTCCGGTTGCGGCCGGAACTGCACGCGGCGGCCGCTGCGAGTGTGCACCGGCGCAGCCGCGGACGGCTTGTCGTCCTTGGCCGGCGATGCGGAAGACGTCACTCCAGGTTTTGAAGTCCTCTTGCCGGACGGTCTTGTAGTCGTCGGCGTCTGTGTCGGCTCGTCGGGCGCCCCAGTGGCGAGGGGCCCGAGCGAGGTCGACGGTGACGGCTGCTGCTCCGGAGCCGTAGGCTCGGTACTGCTCGGACCAAGCGTGTCCTCAGGTGGCGGCATGTGTGCCGGTTTGAGTCTGTCAACGCTTACAGTGTCGTGGGCGCCAGTCGGCAGCTCCAACGTGAACACTTTAGGGCTGCGTCTGATGACTCGCATGGGGCCGCGGTACGGGGACTCCAGAGAGTGCCGCACGCGGTCAACGCGTACCCACACGTGTGTGCATGTCATGAGATCGGGTGGCACGTGCGTCGGTGGTGTGCGGGCGTGGTTCGAGCCCTGTGAGAGTGTGACGAAATCGATTTCTGACATACGCTTTGCCAGTTCTTGGACGTACTTTGTGCCGACGGGGACCTTCTCAACGGCGCAGCGGGGAAACAGCACCTGCGCGCCTGTGACGGCAGTGAATGCCGAAAAACCCGACTCTGCTGGCATAGCTCTTATACCTAGCAAAACTACTGGTAGCGCGCGCAGCCACTCTTGCCTGCGCGCCCTGATCGCGGCTTTGAGCGTTCGGTGGACCCGTTCCACCATT